AACCAAAACAACCACACTAAACTTTTACTTTCAGCCATTTTTGGTAAAAATTTTTATGTTGAAACAAGTTTTCAAGAAAGATTTAGATCAAATTGTGAAAGAAAAGACCATTTTTAGATAGACTTTGTTGCGTTTTCTAACTTGAATCTATGAGGTCTGACTGTTTAAAGATTCAATTATTCCTATTTATTCTATTTATCCTCCAAATTATATTTAATCGATTTAATTTCTGTTGCATGTAAGCAGAAAAAAGGTGGAGTGCTTTTCCTTTTGACTGTTTCTCCCGTTTCCTGTTTGGTGATTACGTTCAGCTTACCTTTACGTCACGGCTTAACGATGCGTACGCGCTGACGTCACAGCCACCATACATCGACTTTACGCCCTGTTTACGTCCTGAGCTGGCAGCGGGTCAGAGGGTTCTCTGTGACGGTTTACGGAGGCTAAATCCTGCGTGATGGACCGAGATGATGCCCCACTGTATTCAAGATCATGAAAAAAAAAGATACTAAACCCACAAAATCCAACAAAACTGAGAGGCAAAAGCCCCGAAAACGTGACAAAAAGAATCCAAAATATAACAATACGTGCCAAATTGAATACATTTTTATTTCATTCGTGTTTTTTGTTCAGTAAATCCATTTTCTGCACTGATGTTTATTCCTATCCGTTTTCAGAGGGAGAATGACAAATGTATCCAGCTGGAGAGGCCAGTGGGTTCACCTCCTCCATTTGCTGGCAGGAGAAAAATGCGGCTGGCTGCATCCCCTATAGGCCCCCTATGCATGTGCATATATATGCATGTACAGTAAACAGACATTTAACAGCCTCTTCCTGAACCAGAGGAAACAGGAGCCCAGGGTTTCTGGGTCAGTAAACAGGTAGAGGGTGAGGTTCAAATTCTGTAAAACAAAAGAAATGAATAGAAATAACTGCACAGTGTGCAATATTTAAACAAAAATAGAGGCAGTGGGTTGTCCATCTAATCCAAACAGAAGCATCTTCACAAAATATATTTTTAAAAAGGCACAATGAGGCCATTTCAGGGAAAATATGAGCTCATCTGGAATTCGATGGCAGCAACGTGTCGGAAAAAACGTTGGGACGGGTCCATGTGTCCCTCTGGGATTCCTCCAACATCAGTCTGTGCACATCTGGATCTGGAGAGTCCGTGCTCTGCTTCACGAGCATCAAATGAAAACCATTCATCTGAGTAGGAGTCAGTGGTGATGAAGCCTGTCCAGATGTGCATGTTTCCACTTCCAGATGTTCTAATATTACCCATAATATACAAAAATGCAGGTGTACAATCTCATATTTAAAGAATGATCAGCCTTCACCAATAAGAAAACAATCATATAGAATCAGTTTTCAGAAGGCTTCAGTCAATCTAAAATGCTCTCAAACCCTCATAAAAGTTCTAAATTGATTCAATTGTTCATTTAAATTGTGTCTGTGTTGGTTAAATCCATATTGGGTGTCTTTGCAGAAGGATAATCAAACAAATTCATCCATTCAAGTCAAAATGGTCTCAGTGATTTGGCTATTTTTTGGGACGTATAGTGAAAAATACAAGGAAATTTGCATTCTTAAAGCTAATGCTAATAGAGCTAGCTTCAAGCATTGATTTGGTTAAAAGCAAAGAAGCTAAATCAGGTTTTACTAAATCATAGTTACTGCTGTCCATGCATTTCAAAATCTACTTAAAACAGTTTATCTCACACCAATTGTCCATCTTTTTGGGAGATCCACGTGTCTGCTAACTCACTTTTTTTTATTTTTTGTTAAGCAAATCTCAAAGTTCAGTGAGTAACTGTTAGGATTTCACCACCTCCTGCTGGCTTCTCATCTTTTCGGTACCCAAAAGTTTGACCTAATGTTTCTCTTTTTAGAGTTCATGTTTCCTCTGGTTTAGTTTTTATGAGCTTGAGTGTCGTGCGTCTCTGGATTTCTCTGTAGTTACCCGTTATTTTCACTAGATGTCCTCATATTCCCTCATTTTAGCTTCAGATCCACACACTGAGCAGCTGCTTCCACCTGAGAGCGACTAAAAAAACACTGTTACATTCTTTTCTCTTTATTTTGCACATGTGACAGGTAATTCCTTCATTTATCAAGTTTTATGTGAACAGCCGGAGGCCCGCTGGTTCCTACCTTTTTATACTTTTCCTTTTTTCTACCACAGATTCCGTGCCTTGAAGGGGCCCAGATGAAATCCAGGGTTCCTTTTAATGTTTTCTTCCCACAGTCGCCTCGTGCCCCCTCAGGATGAGAACTGAACCACAGGAATCTATTAGTCTTCTTAGCGTGGCACCTTTTTTCATCATCTCTGTGTGAACTGCTCTTATTTTGAAATGTGATTCACTAGAATTTATTGGATTTTGATTGTTTGAACTGGATTCTTATTGAGGTGTGAAGTGATTCGGTTCTTCACTGAATCAAAGAGCTGCTTTTTTGTGTGTTTTGGCTCTTCTGGTTACCTTTTCAGAGTTGGACCGTTTTCTTCTCTCCTCGGAGAGGGGGGGGGCAGACAAAACACCGACCGTGGCCGCTCAGGTTGGACTGTGGGTTTATTGTTTGTGCAAATTCTTGCAAGAGGCAATCCAGGTGCATGGGG